GCCCTCCCCCTCCCCAGGCGCGGCCATGGAGCAGGGCCGGGCTGCACGCAGCGGGGCCTTATCGGGCATCTCCCGTTACATAAGGCCGCGCCCCTATCTCCCGGCATCGCCGCGACCGCGGGGCCAGCGCCCGTCTCCCACGCGCGGTGGCGGTGGCGCCCCTGCCCACCTCTCCCCGCCGGGGTTTCGCTGGTCCTGGGGAGGAGGGCGGCGCTGACTCACCCTGGCGCAGGGCTCGGGGACTTGCACAGCCCGTGGTGGCTCCCCACACCTTCCGCCGTCGGAGACCCCAGGCAAAGATGCCCTTGGCCCTATTCTACCCACGGAGAAACCGAGGCCCACAGAGGGGTCACAGCCCCGAAGCAGCACTCCAGGCACGGGGGTGGCGGGCACAAGGGGCAGGGGCACAAGGGGCAGGGGCACAAGGGGCAGGGCCAGCTCCCGCAGCCAGGGCCTGCAACTGGGTGGGAAGCTTAGGGTTTGGACAGAAGGGACGGTGGGACAGGGTGACCAGTGGGAGGAGAGGGGGCAAGGCTGGGAGGCTTCAAAGCCAGAGACAGCTCCCGCATCCCTGGAAGGGCCTTTTGAGGAGGTTGGGCCCCGTTATGGGGGTGAGAGGGGGTAGGTGACAGAGAAAACCTGCCCAAGCAGGCAGAGAGGGGGCCTGGAGGGGAAGGCACTGCCTTAGGAGAGGGAGAAAGTGGGGGGGGGGAGCGCTTGACATCAGTACCCAGGAGGCAAATGCTGCTGTTGTGGGGGTTCCTGGAGGACTTCTAGAGAAATGAGGGAACAGCAGGAGATGGCTACATGCCAGGGTCCCTGCAGAGGGTGGGCTGCTCTTCATTCTGCAGTAGGGAAACTTGAGGCGCCCAGAAGGAATGGGGCAGGTTTCCCACAGAGACTGGTGGGCACTGGGAACAGGTACACTCTGATCTGGGCTAAGGCTGGTCGGCCTCCCACTGGCCTGGCACAGTAAGGGTTGCCCGGCAGGACTCACCCAGACTGAAGGCCTAGGTAGGGTTCCCAGTGTCCAGGTGGCCTGTGCTCCAAGTTATCATCAAAGCAACATGAAAAAGGAAAGGTCTCAGGAGGACCCCTGAATCTGACTGGATCGTTTAGTGGAGACTGGCAATCTGAATTTTTATAGCCCTTCCCACAGCGGGGCCAGCGGGGAACCAGGAGGCCCAAAAGAGAATTCACTCTGCTCCTTTTTCCGTTTGTACTTTGTATCCAAAGCAAGCATTCCTTCGCTAATGTAAGAGACCAGTTCACTGAAAAATAAAACCTCCAATTTCCCGTATCTGGTGGACTCGGGTCATACACTGCCAGCCTAGCACATATGGTGACCCAAAGCAGTCTGAGGACAGGAGCTGGGCAGGCCCTCAGGGGTCACGAAACAAGACTGCTGGCGCTCCAGGTGCATGGCTGATGCCGGGCCCCCCTCAGGCCCTTTCACCTGCCCCTGGAGTAAGCCCATCCAGATCTTTGAAACTGCCCGAGACCCCTCTCAATATTAAGTCCACAAGAAATCAAACACTTTCCTTTATGCGACGATGGATTTTCCACGAAGTAAAATTAAGATGAGTAAAGATGTGGTTTCTAGATAGTGCCTGGCAAAGCAGAGACCAGGGTGTGAAGCGTCATCACTTGGGCCTATAAAAGCTGCCACAAGAGACCAAGGCCACAAGCCACTCGCTCAGGCCAGCCTACGTGTCTGCTCCTGGCTCCTCTTGCATTAGCTCTGGGCTCCATGGCGCTCTGGTTGACCTTGGTCGTTGTTCTCACCTGCTGCAGCGGTTTCGCCTCCCCAGGCCCGGTGCGCCCCCTCACGGCCCTCAAGGAGCTCATTGAGGAGCTGGACAACATCACCCAGAAGGTGAGTGCCCTCTGGCCAGGGTCCTAGCTCTAACGGTGTGGGGTGGTTGACTCTGGGGAGTGTACTGGTCATGGTCTGGGTCATGACGGCTGGGCCTGGTGCTAAGATGCCTGTGGGTCAGGAAGAAGCCCCAAGGACCAGGGGCCAGGTCACGAGGGAGAGAATGGAGCCAGGCTGGGGATGCAGCAATAGGGATGGACCCAGGAAGGAATTTGGGAGAGCCCCAGGGACCACTTATTCCCCAGGCCTGGCCCTGCCTGCCCCGGCAAGCTCCCACTCAGCCTTTCCTGAACAGAGGAAAGCGAAGGGCCAGCACCAGCTTAGAACCATCCGGCATTTGCCAACGGGATCTGAACGCAGTAATGGGGCCGCTATTCACAGCGTCTTAGTTGAGCCCATTCTCGTGGAAGTGTTCAGCAGCAGGGGCAGTGGTGACAGCTCACACGTCTGAGCACTGACTGTGAGCCAGGCCTGGTACTGGGTGCTTACATCTCATTCCACCCGTCAACCACCTCAGGAGGCAGGTGTGATGACCCCGTTTAACCTCAGTGAAGTTAATTCTCAAAAGCCAGGTTCAGACCAGTCTTGGCCAACACCAAAGTGCCCATGCTCTGAACTGCGGTGTCCCCAGTTCAGAAGGCAGGCGTCTATGCACTAGATCCCACTGCCTCCATCCTGTTGGCCTGGCCACCCCTCCCTCACCTGCCCCCGCCGGTCCTTCCCCACAGGCCCCCTCTTGACCAGCCTGGTGGCTTCTGCCCCCTTACCCTGGCCAATGGCGAGTATCACGCAAGGCTTGTCCCTTAGTCATTCCGTTTTTCTCTCAAAGGCCCCTAGAGAATGCGTCTCCCTGACTGCGCAGAGCGGAAAATGGGGTTCAGGAGCATGAGGGGGCCAGGCCTGCCTCAGTGTAACATCAGGGGTGCTCACTGTCTTTTGCTTCCTCAGGCCCCCCTCTGCAATGGCAGCATGGTGTGGAGTGTCAACCTGACAGCTAGCCCGGTAAGGACCCCTCGGACACTGGGACCCCAAGGCCTTGGGCTCATCTCTGAGCCTCGCTCACAGGGCTGGCGCTCTAAGCAAGTTTAAAGAGCTACTCTCTCCCCTCCCACCACCCAGACCCCACCTCCACCAGGCCCCTCAGTACCCCTCCTCCCATAAACTCACTGAAGGTGTCACCCAAGCCACAGGGCTGGGGCGCCACGGGGCCTGACACTGCACCCTCCTCCCTGCAGTACTGCGCAGCCCTGTACTCACTGATGAACATCTCTGACTGCCGTGCCATCCAAAAAACCCAGAGGCTGCTGAACACACTCTGCCAGCAGACGACTTCAGCCGGGGTAAGGCCCTTGCCCCACACCCTTCCCTGCACCACTCCTGCCAGCCCTGGACTCGCCCCAGGAGCTCCAGGGAAACCTGGCTGAGCACCTGAGGCAAGCGCCCACCTGGGCGGCAGGGAGGTCCACTGTGGCAGCAGGGACATGGCCTTTGGGATTTCCAGGACCTGGGCATGAGGGCTCCTGACTCCTACCCACATCTGTAAAATCAAAGTCATGACAGTACCCACCTCATGGGGTCTTCTCTGAGGATGCAACGTTCTGACCCCGGAGCGCCCCTGGCGTCGTCCCACTAACGTGTTGGCCTCTCTGTCACTACAGCAGGTCTCCAGCCAGCCTGTCCGAGACACCAAGGTCGAAGTGATCCACTTTGCCAAAAGCCTCCTCCAGCAGTTAAGGAAAGCTTATCGCCACGGAAAGTTCAACTGAAAGCGTCCAGCATGAACTACCAGCGTCACTGTCAGCAGAGGCTGACCCATTTAAGTTGCAGATTCATTTTCCTTTCGGATGTCAGAAATTTCTCGGGGAGACGGGGTGGAGGGTGAGGGAGGGGGTAAGATTTCCTAGCTTAGACCTCAGCCTGTGCTGCCTGCCTTCAGCCCAGCCCGACCAGCCTTGCTGCCCAGGGCTCGGGGCTCCACATGGAGGGTCTCCTCCATCTGGGGCTCCAAGCTCAGTGGAGGAAGGTAAAAATTTTGCCCCACACGACATTCCCTTCCTTAGAGCAAACTGTAGCGTTACAGGGGGCGCCACCCTTGCCAAACATATGGTGGGATAGGGGCCTGCTTCACAGAGGGCAAGTGAGGCAGAGAGCAGCTCAGGTGTATTTCTTCTTGGCCTTATTTATTACTGTGTGTTATTTAAACAAGTGTGTCTGTCTGTGCCGGGGATAGGGAGGGACTTCTGTGCCAGAACCTGGAGCCAAGGGCATGGAGACCTGGGCTCCAGCACTAAAGCAGCGGCCCTAGGAGCCCCTGGGAATAAGTACTGTGTGCAAAATTCTCTACCTCACTGGGGTCCTGGGCTGAGGCTCTTGTCTGCCCACCAGCAGTTGGCCCTCAACCAAGGAGTAATTTATTATTTTCCCTTGTATTTAAAGTTAAGTATTAAAATATGTTATTAGAGTTAATATATACAAGAGCAACCTAGAACACTGCATTGGTATGTGTGGATTCAGGGGAGAGGTCATCGAATAAGGTTTTCATTGACTTTGTTAAACTGGAAGCCACAATAAAGATGGTGACGAGATACCTCATGGTGTTTGCCTTTTGTTTCGACCTTTGGGAACGCTGGCCTAAGTGTTCCTAAGACTCTGTGAGGCAATTCTGGAGACAAGCGTATTGGAGGAGGGGCCCAGGATGGAGTGGAGAGGGAGCAGGGGACAAGACCTGGGATGGAAAAAAGTGAGCAAGCTCCTGGGGGAAGGAGGCCCTAGCCTGGGGGAAGTTCCCCCACCTACCCCCGGCAGAGAGCGGGGAAGCTGGGCCAGGATGTCAGAGTTCAAGGAGGGCATCTGAAGCAGACAGAGACCTCAGAAGTCATCTCATGATCATAGCTCTTGATGAGTGGCCAACCTGCACCTAGTACTTCCACACACCCTCCTGCATCTCCCTCACAACCTCTCTGAGGCTCAGAGAAGGAAGCTGGCTTGCTCAAGGTTACATGAGGCGTAAAGACAGGATTTGAACCCAAAACTCACTCCAACTCCTCTTAACAACACTTAACAACCCTGCCTCCCTCTTTCCAACTGTCATCTGGCCCAAATGCTTAACCTTTATAATATTTTCATCAACCTGCTTGGGCACCTCTTTTGATGAGCTCACTACCTACTATCAAGGGACAGTCCATTCAATTTCCAAACACTTCTCATCATTAGAGTGCACACTTACCACCTCTGTGAATGAAGATGCACCAATTGGCTTATGGCTCCTGGACTGTGAAGCGACTGAGGTAGAGAGCCAGGGTCACGGGGCCCTGGTCAGATGGCTCATCTGAGCAGGTCTTTCTCCTTCTCCCTGGCCTAGGCCAACACCTGGAGTGCCAGAAGCAGCAGGCCTCAGCAAGCCACAGCTGATGGTCATGCCCATCTTCAGTGGTTTCCACTGAGAATCTTTGGGAGGTGCCAAGAACCTAGGGCTTCCCAGAGGACGGCATGCCATTCCAGTGGGTTGTGGGTCATTGGAAAGCAGTATTGAACTCTGAGTGGCAGGCAGGTATCTTCCCTGGGGAGCCCAGAGCCCCGTGGAAACATCTGCAGTAATGCTCAGAAGTCAGTGGAGGCCACTCAGGAGCAGCGAGGGCTTCTGCATGCAGCAGAGGCCAGTTAGGGCAAGTCCAGGGGCAGATGACCACCCAGACTGCAGTGGGGTGGCCCCTCATCTGCTCTCAGACAGAGGTTAGGGAAGAACACACAACTGATGGAGCAGGATGCTAGGGGTGCTTGGCCCAGAGAGGGAAGACCTGGGGAGGGGCATAGGAGCTGAGCGTCCCACGGGCTGTCCAGAGCAGGGGCTGGTCTGGTCCCTATGGTCCCAAGGGGTCCCAGAACCTGTTCGGTCCCACTACACTTTCTGAGGACTGCCTGTGGCCTGCACTGCACCAGCTTTCTGGGCAGGTGATGACCAAGACACCACATGCACACAAGGCTGAGCCCCAGCAAGGTGTCTTTAGACAATGGAGGGTCTGAGGAAGGGTGCTCTACCCGTGGGTGGGGAGGTTCCAAAGTTGGGGATGCGGATAGGAGGCAGATCTCCGCTATCCCTCTCCATCCAGACATTCCAGAAGTTTAAGGCCAGAAGGACATTTACGGAAGATTAACTTTTTAAATATAAAACTTAGCAATCCATCTGCTCCCATGTCCTCTCTGTCTGACCAAGGCATTGGCCTATCTGTCCAAAAGGAAGATGGAAAATCTTCCGGTGAAATTCTATGTGAATCTTAAGAACAGAGACTGGAATTGAGGCTGGTGTGGGGGAGGGCCCCTTAGGATTTCCCAGGGCTATATTCTGAGCCCTGCAGCCTGGAGGGCCCCGTGGCTGGGTGCACAGGCCCGGCCCAGCCGCAGGCCCCGCCACTAGGGGTCCGCAGCGTGCCACATCCTCAGCCACCCACAGCTCTCTGCCTGCACCTCGGAGGCTGTCCCCTAGACAGGGGCCTGTGGTCCCCAGCGGTGTGCTGTGAGTCAGAGGAGTTCCAGGGATGACAGATGCCTCACAGAGCTGCAGAACCAAGCCACCTCTGGTGGCAACAGGGAGGTGGCCTCAGCCAGGAAGGAGAGAGGAAACAGAAGAGAACACAAAGGTCTGTGTCAGCCACTGCGGCCAGAGTGCCAGCACCTGGGCACTGACCCTAGGGCGTTTGCTGGGAGTTTTCTCTACCATGTCCTCTTGCTTCTTTCCTGCACGAGGCAAGGGCAGAAGGGGGGTCGGGAAGAGACGGTGCCTAGTGAGTGGGAGGGAGAAGGAGGGGTCTCCAGAGAGAAGGGGGGTCAGGAAGAGACAGTGCTTAGTGAGTGGGAGGGAGATGCTGATTATGGGGCTTGGGGAGGGGAGCCCCCTGGCACCCCAGGAACCCCAAGCCTAGGAGGTTTCACTGGAAGAGGGGCTGGGGCTCAAGTGAGAAGCGAGACACAAGAGAGCTTCCGGTGAAGTGGGCACCAAACATCTCTGCTGCTCAGATGAGATGTCAGAAACACTCAAGTCACTTCAGGGGTTCTCTGAGGCTGGCCCTCTGAACTGCTCAGGGCCTAGGAGCCCTGCAGCCTGGACCTGCCCTCGGTTCCCTGTGACCCAGCAGCGTGGAAGAAGGGTTTATCGAGTCCATCAGCTTATCACTCTTTCATTATGATGAAACAGGGAAGTGCCTTCTGCTTATGATCTTAATTCAGCTGGTCAGTTTGAGCAAAGTCAAAAACTGTTCCTCCCTTCGGCTGACTCCCGTCTAAGAAGGCCCAGCTGCGTCCAGGCTGACCGTGCTCCGGGGAGGGGGTGCCCTGGCCTGGGACACGCTGGCCAGTTAGAGGGCCGAGCGGTACCAGAACTGACGGCTGCATCCACGATCACCCGCCCACACGCGAGGCCCACTCCTACTCTGAAAAAGAAGAGTCAGTCTCATTATCTTCGTTCATTTCTCGGCTCCACCCAAAAGCAGCAGAGCAAAGGGTTTGCAACGAACTTTCCCAGATCAACTGATTTCCCGGCAGCCAGGGAGGGCCCCATGACGAAGCCGGTGAGATCCCAGAAGCAGTTTTCTACTAACAACCTCACTTTCTGTTGCGCTCTCTCCCTTCCCCTCCACACTGCCTTCTCTTGTGGAAAGTGATTCTCTCAAAGCGTCATTCAGAGCCGCCCCCAGCCCCCTGCACTGCCTGGGCAGACCTGCCATCTGGTCACTGGTGACACAGATGCCAAAATTAAACAGCCACACCCATCAGCTCTGCTGTCTGCATCACACGGACAACCCTGTGACCCCACAGCTCTTCCTGAAACCCACAGGGGTGTCCCATGCAGACCAGTGCCCGATGGCCTGCTGACCACACCAGCCAGAGGGTCTATGCCCCTACTGAGCCCGGCCCCTGGCCTGAAGGAGCCACGGTGATACCACATTAGAATAGTGATTTCTCGTTTATTATCTTTTCTTTTTCTAATCTGTTTTCCCACATTTTCTATAAGGAGCATGCATTCATTTCGCACTGGGGGACAAAGACAAAATTAATTAAAAACAAAAAACGAAATTGATGTCATGAGGGAGATCAAACCTGGGGTGGGAAAGGGGCCTGCAGCACTCCCTGGGTGGGCCAGTGCTAGGGTGGGCCCCTGGGCTCAGTCCTAGCCCCTCCCTGGGAGCAGGCTGTTTCAGGAAAGGAGGTGGCATTTGCAGGGGCCTGGGAGGCAGAAGGTCCAGCGCTCTCCTCCCACGGGCTGGATCCTCGGGCCAATCAGGTCCTGCGCTGCCAAAGAGGGAGAAAAGTGCTCCATTCTTGGGGGTCTTCACCCAGCCTTGGTCTACCAGCT